TAAAAAGAGCCAACCCATCCATGGCAACTATATGGAGAGGTATGAACCATTTCTAGAAGTGGACTGATATGCTTCTGAGGAGTCACAGTAAAGGATGCTGTCAAACCTCTTTACTCCCCCCAAAAATGGAATCATGGTCCCATCCCTCAAAGGTCTTCACATTTGTTATTTTGCATTCACTGATCTGGGTTTCCCGCCACTGTTTCTGAAGAACACAGGGTTCAGCCCCCTCCCCAAAACGGATGCTGTCCAAGAGGTGTGACAGCTTGAAGGCCCTTAAAGAAAAGATACCAAGGGTGACACCGGGCATCTTTCAGTCCAAAGTGGTAATGGGAGCAAGAACCTTCTCTACCTTGCAGGTCAGCTTTGGTCAACGCAACTTTGTTAGCAAAAGAACAGAAAAGGTGAAAACAATAACCAGAGGTTAGTAAGAGGTAGAGTCAACCAGGATAACATTACAGAAATGAAAATAACAATCGGCATAACCAACATCACTCAAACAGACAGTTAAAATGCTCTACGGGTTCTCCAGAGACAGCACAGATGGGGGATGCAGGGACCCAGGTGGAGCAGGTCTCGTCAGAGGCACGTCAGCAGAGCGGGGGCAGGAAAACACTGGACTTGACAAAGCACAAGCAGGGGTAACAAGAGCCTTCCCACATCCACACAGCCAACCCCAAGGCATATGGTCCAGGAAAATGATTCTCCACGAGTCAGGATAAGCATCAAGAAGGGTAGTGCGTGGCCAGACTGAAAGACATGTGTGCACAACCAGACCAAGCCCACAAAAATATAATTCTGCACATCTAGGAGTTAAAGATAGAAGAGTCGCTTGGGAGCATCCTTGTAATCTCCTGAAAATGCGACCAGGGAATGTGGCGCTTGAACTGGGCCCGTGCATCAAGGTGATTTGGGAACTCCAAAGAGCTCAATTTGTTTGATTGGTAAGAATACAGCCAAATCCAAATGGCTGCAAGCGAAAAGGCACCAAACCGATGTCTTTTTACTTATTCATGCCAGTCTCGAAATGAAGCACGTGTGTTTCTCTCAGTGGAATCGCATTTCCAGCCAACCCATGCCTTGGTCTCTGCAGCAAAGCTGGCCTCAAGATAGAAAGAGATATTTACCAGCTGAGAATAGAACCAGACATCATTTCAAAATTCCTAGCCCAAACTGAGAGGCTGTAAGTCACAGCTAGATGTGGGCTAGGTTGTCCAGAAATTGTGCTTAATTTCTGAAGTATTATACTCTGCATAAAAATTAAAACATGGTTTGAGATTTTTTTTCTTTCTTAGTATAAAACAATTGGGAGGCAGAGTCGTAAATTAATTCGTTTTTAAAATAATTTTGGACTCTTCACAGTTAGATAGGAGAGGGAAAGTAGTACATTTACTACCTAGAGATCCTGAAATATCATCATCAATGACTTTGACAAGAACATGGATACATCCTGGCCTGTGTACCCCAGATAGTGAGAATAGAACACCTTTACCATGTCGAAGGGATGCAGCTCTTCGTTTTTAGTAACGAATCCTCATCCCCTACCTGTACATTATTCTATATATAGAAATGATAAATCAGGAAATCTATTTCCTGGGATTTCCATCCTGCACAATATTCAACGGCCTTCTTGAGGGTTCCATACTATGTACAGAGATTCAGAATGAGAAGGACACCTGTTTGCAGTCTCTCTAAGGTTCTGTGCTCCTCATTTCCCTCCTCGCCATCTACTTGGGCTTCATTTCCACAGTGCCCTGAAAGGCTCCTGGGATCTCTTATAAGGGCTTATTCACATGGTGTAAACTTCCAACGACAGTAATTTATGCCTTAACCCACTTTTTGGCCATTTTTCCTGGCCACTTAGGCTAATTATCCAAGTCATCTGTGTACAATAAACAAGAACCTTCTTCCCTCCTCACTCATCCTCTATTCATCCCGCCCAGTGGGGCGGTCATAATGCTCCATGGGTAATCATCACAATTATCTCCATGGCAATAGAGTGCAGGGTTATTAGGCTCATGGGACTTGCCATAGATTCGGATGGTAGAAGCATCAAGTCACAATATCCGGTGCTGAACAAACACCCATACTCAGAGGAGGGTCAGACCCCGCTATAATGCAGGTGATGAGTCATGCCAAGCTGCACACAGAGATGGAAGTAGGGATGGGACCATTTTCCCCAATTTGATGGGTAATTTCCTTGTGCTAATGCTCTCACTGCTGCTCTTCCAAGTTCCTTTAAGTGGACTCCATCCCCCCCCACTTTTATACTCTACCTTTTAATCCACTCTTCTGAAAGTTGGTTTAGACTTTCTTTTAATCCAATACAACAGTGCTATCTCCTTACACCCCAACTTTTCATCCTCTGCAGAACTCTGCTTCTGATACGGTAGGCCACAGACACGAATAGCTACTGAGCACTGGAAATGGTATGCAGTCTGGATTGAGGTGTGCTGTAAGTATAAAATACACACTTGGTTCTGAAGGCTTAATGTGAAAGAAGAATGTGCAATGTTTTAATAATAATTTTATATCATTGCATGCTGAAATGATAATATTTTGGATATACTGGGTTAAGTGAAATGTAAAATTAAAATTAATTTTACCTGTTACTTTATATCTTTTTTACACGTAGCTAGTATACTAGGAAATTTAAAATTACTTATGTGACTCACATTATATTTCTATCAAGCAACACTGCTATAGAGTTAAATGGATGATTCCTATTAACTTGTAAATCTGAAGAACGATGACATGGTAAGAATATTTAACATCTGAAGAGTACTTTATGCTTTTTAATGTGTGCTTTTATGTTTTATGTTTTAACTCAATCTGATTAATTATTGAAGGATAACTGGAATTTCTGTCATTCCACAATCTTTGAAACAGAGATATTTGATTTAATTCCCGAATGTTACATTTATCTCAGCATTGCCCTTGAAGCCTGAAAGAAGTAAGAGCAAGCCAAGGAGACAAAAATTCTTGATTTGAATGACATAGTGCATTTTCAGGAGAAGAAAGCAAAGTGGCTACTTTAAGCACATGGTGATTCCCAACTTCCTGTCCTCCCATGTACACAGACCTGATTTGGCCCACCAGATATAAGAAATACTCCTGTCTAAAGGCAAACCAGAGTGGGTCATGGGAACAACCAGTCTTATTACTAGTCCACGTGGGAAGCTGACCCTTAGGCAAAGGGTAATGACTTCCACACTGCACATCAGCTTGTGAAGCTGATGGGAAGCCTTTATAAAAATGTGGCAAGTGAACCCAGGTGAAAGCTGGTTAAGAACAGGAGAGATATGTGAAGCTAAATACTTAGGAGATGAGTAAACGCGTTTGATGCGGTAAATCAATGAGATAGAAAAAAACACAACATATATATCGCACACAGGGCCATGACACTCAACCCGACAAAAGAATACATAGATCCTGCTGACTGGTCAGACATCTTTGACTTTGAAGCTCGGTAAGCATGACCTTTTTGGCCTACCCAAGGCCCCTGGGAAAGCCTGAAAACTGTTCACTGCTGCCCTCTGCTGGTTAAACTAGATTGTTTTTGTTGTAAAGAACTGGACTCAAGAAGACCTATTAAAATTCACTTAATATCGATAACCAGCCATTCCTCACAACCCTGCTGCAGCAGCTCTTTCTGCCTGTGGATCCTGTCTCCCTGGGCTTTAATAAAACCACCACTTTGCACCAAAGACTTCTCAGGAATTCTTTCTTGGTCATCGGCTCCAGACTTGACCCCACCAGATGTCATCTATATTCCAAAACCACATCAAGTCTCTGAGCGCAGAAATTTTCCTAGACTCTGATGGGCAGAATGGCTCCCACTTCCATTGCAGTTGCTTCATACTGTCTTCTGGATTACAATTTCCTCCGACCTGTTTCATCTGCTCCAACTGTGCAGTTTGCCTTCCTGGGAAACACCGCGCCCCCCACCCAGACCAGGCCCTGCCCACAGGCATCCTCTCCTAAAGAAAAGGTCCCTTGAAACTACCCTTCTAAAGAAAGACTTCGTATTTGTGTAAATCTGCACTTTTTGCCATCTGCACAGCCCATAAACACTCATAAAGCAGATTTTAAGACCTAAAAAAAAAAAATTCACTTAATATCTTAAGAGACAGTAGATCGCCTACAGCAACAGGCTGAGCATGGTTTGTTGTGCTGCACTGATGGGGCATGCAATGTTATTAGATGTCTCACACGAGATCATATTTGTAAAGTATAATCTTACTGTTTATTGAGTACCTACTATGTCTGCACCAGGCATTTTACATACAGCTCTGATTTACATCACTCACCTTCCAAGGCAAGTTTTATTGCCCCACTTTGCAGGTGAGGAGGATAGGGCTCAGAGAGGTTAAGTAACTTGCCAAATGTCACACAATGAACAAGAGTTACTACCTGGATCTAAATCCAAGTCTTTCTACCATCAACTCCCATGCTGTTCCAGACCTCATCAACATCACACTAATGAACTGCCTAAGAATGCCTGACATCTAGTAAGTACTCAATAAATGTCAGTTCCCTTCCCTCAACATGGCATTCTGACATCATTTTCCTACCTCCTGCTGAGTTTGCACTAAACAATGCAGTAGTTTTAGAAACATTTCATTAATGGTGACACCTATATAAAAGTCTCTGGTATACCTCCCGACGTATAAAAATATAAATACAACCCCTTACTGCCCTTTCATCCATGCTGGAAGCAAAGGTACAAGTCAGGAAGAGTCTGATGTAAATGCCAGGGAAGATCCTCTACTGGCAAGTAGTGGCACAGGGAAGACATCTGCCAACACACATTCCCAGAGTCTGTGGCCCATGTCTTGACATACTGAGCCAGGGACAGGAGGACCCCAATGATGATGCAATGTCAGATGGCAAATGGGAAGGAGAGAGGACTGGTGAACAGTAAGGTGGTGCTGGCAGAGGCAGCAAAGAGGCTTGGTGGTTGCATCCAGGCTGTGGCTTAAAAAGGAAAAAGGCTGTACCTTCACAGCCACGCTCGATCTGTCCACTCCGATGGAGGGCATCGTTGATGAGGTCTGGCAGGCGCCCGTTCAAATCCACTGATGCCAGACAGCCCTGAAAGCCATCCCGGGAAGCCACCAGCTTTGGAAGGTTACTGTACATGCCTTGGGCCAGACCCGCCATGTAGAGGTCACCTGGAAAGGAAAGTGAGTAGCAAGAGCAGATGAGTAAAGGGTAGGGAAAGCAGACTCAGCTAGAGCCAATGCACATTAGATGATTTCACAGGTAGTGGTGCTAGAGCTGGGGCGGGGCGGGGGGGGGGGACGGGAAATGGCATAAGCAACTAATTACACAGTCTCTACAGTGTAGAAAGAAGAAACTAACATTGCTTATGTCATTCATTTTCTCCATGCCATCTCACAAATTTTAATCACCATATTCAGTCCATGAGGTAGGTATTGTTCCCATTTTATGATGAAGTAAAGATTAACAAGATCTCCAACAAAACAACCATTTATTGAATGCTTGTTATGGGCTTGTGACCAATAATATGAGGAGGATTTTATAGACATTATCCCATCAAAACTAATAACAGCCCATAAAGGTAGTAACAATTATTATCCTCATCTTGCAAAAAAAGTATAGAGAAGCTGAACAAGGCTAAGAAATTTTACCAAAGTCACCCAGGCAGTAAGTGATTCAGCTGAGATTCCAAAACCTCTACCACCCCCTCTGTATTAGGGCACCTCCGCATTTTGACATTTATCACCTCACACTCAGCCCCCGCATGCCTCAGGTTTACAGAGAAAATGAACCATCCCTTGAGGAGTGGTTTAAATAAAACTGCATTTTGGTATCATTTAATGGTGTTAAAATAAGATATGCATGATGTCTCAAAAATGCCTGGCACTCCTAACCTGTAGTTTGCCTCTGTAAACAGCCCTTGGATTATAAGAAATGCTCTAAAGGTGCCTGAGAGGCTCAGTGGGTTAAATGTCCAACTCTTGGTTTTGGCTCAGTTCGTGATCTCAGGGTCATGATCTCAGGGTCATAAGATCGAGCATGGTTTTGGACTCCACACTCTGCAGGGAGTCTGCTTGAGATTCTCTCCCTCTGTTCTTCCCTGCACTTGAGCACTCTCACTCTCTCTCAAATAAATAAATCTTAAAAAAAAAAAAAAAAAAAAACAAGAAATGCTCTAAAAAGGATAAACTTCTTTATAAGGTTTACCTTTCAAATCCAGATTTTTGGCCCCATTGATAACTTGAGTGACCACTTTAGTGTCCACTTTCAAGCTATGGGTGTTACTGTTGTCCCGGGTGATGACGACATTGTGCCACTGGTTGTCATTCAGGGGGCGGTCACTGTTGCCTTTGATCACGTTGGGACCATTCCCAAGGTCAAACACGTAGTGTATATACCTGTGAGCAACAACAACCACCTCATGAGTGGAGATTCCCTCGAGTGGTTGAATGGCAATGTACGTATAACTGACCCCGAGGGCTTCGCATCCCCTGTGCTAACCTGGCATCATGCAGGAATAATTAAGGCTTGATCTGGGGTTCTAAGAAGAGTCACAGTCTGTCCTGTCAGACTTCACTTTAATTCCACACTTAAAAGGTTCACTTCTTTACCATGATCTAAAAATCCAGAGCCACTAAGTAGAACAGGTGGTACATCCCCAAACACTAGGGGGAAGCATTTAAATTCAGTCGATTGTGGATCTGTTTTTTGGGTTTTGTTCTAGCTTTTGTTTTTGTTTTGACTATTTTCCAACACATGGTAGTAAAATATCTTGCAGAAAGAAGAGCATTTAAAACTGCGCATATATGGGCTAATGGCAGTGCTGCAAATATCTATATTTCATTTCTTCCTATAGATCTGGTGGTTGCAGAGAGCACTGTCCTGGAGCATTGTATATAGGATATACACACTATTCTCCTTTTGCAAAAATGACCTTCTTTCCTATAGGTTTAAAGGGCTATATTTCATAGTAAAAAGTCTGATAGTATTGAGTTAGTGGAAGACCTTTAAATAAACTAATGAACTGCTCTTCCTTTCAGCCCTAACCATTATATAGGTTGTTTTTAATCAACAAGGATGAGAGCAGGTGGTGGGAATAGAGGGTGGGAGCAGAATGGACACTTTTTTTTCATGTCCATATTTTATGTTGGGCTTGAGCTGAGATACCTGGTATAAACGATGTGATCTTTTCCACTTACCCCTTGACCAATTCAACTGCAATGAAGTCATTGCCATCACCACTGTTGAAGAGAATGAAGCCATCCGCTGAGGTGGTCTTGAACTGGAAGAAGAGGTGCATGGAGGTGTAGGCCTGGAGGGTGGCCAGGCTCAGGTAGCTGCTCTTGGTCTTGAAGGTGACGGGGTCAGCGATAATGTTCCTCAGTCCAAAACGAGCCTTCAGTTCGCAGTAATCAATGTCGCCATTTTTACACAGGTCAATATAGAGCAGGCCATTGAACATGAGGCTCTGCAAGTGGCCAATGAAACTGGATGGGACAACGGAGATGTAACGTTTCTCTGTCATGATTCCAGTCTCGATATTATGGAATTCCAAGCGGGTATGGTCCCCCACCATCGTACCTATCAACATCACAGAGGAGATACACGCAAGTTATCACATTTTGTCACAGCACACTTACTATACCTTTTAGGTTTCCACACAAAATATTTAGTTCCAGGAAACAAAATGCCCAATATAGTAGACTGCCGATGGGACCTCAGTCAGAGGATGGATTCCTGGCTGAGGCTGAGTTATATGCCCTGTGGCCCATGCTCTCATGCAGCTGCTCAGAATGTCCCATCATGTAAAAGAAAATATGAGATCATGGATAACTCAAGTTAAAGGATAAAATGATTCATTTTCTCCATTCAGGAAACAATTGGGTATGAATGCATACTATAAGAAAAAAAGTCTCGATTGCCCCAAACCTTGTAAAGATACAACAAACAAGCATGAAGCATTCACTACCAAATACTTCTTGATGTATTAATTTACCACCCAGTACTTGTCGAAAGATTCTATTGTAGAACATGTGTTAATTTTTCTCTGACCAGCAACTGTTGCTTTTTCTGATAACACCACTAATTTCCCTTTGGGATGCTACCCTCCATACTTTACCTTAAAACCATCTGGGCTGGATGAAGCTGATCCTAACCCAGCTCTTGAAGTAATCAGTCTACACAGACTGGACCACTCAACATTATTTTATCCCCCTAGCCATAGTACGGTCTATGGACTAACAAGGTGGTCTGCAAACTTTAGCACGCCTCTGAATCACATGGAAGACTTCTTAATACATCATTCCCTGCACCCCACCCTCAGTTTATCATTCAAAAGTCTGGGGTGTGGCCTGAGACCATGCATTTCTAATAAATCCCAAGGTGATGTTTATGTAGCTGGTCTAGGGAACACCCTTAGAACCAAGGGATCAGCAGCAACATAAGCTGGAGTATTTAGTACTCAGTAATTAAGTCTAGTAATATTCAGCTCCAGAGTTTTTTTTAGAACACCTATGAGAGAGGCATTCTTTGTAAACAAGGCTTGTTGAAGGGGTAAGAAGAAAACTCAGAGTTGCGGGAAACCATGTGATAACCAGAGAGATTGGGCCTGCCCGAGGAGACAGCCAACCCAGAAGCCAACCACAAAATGGCGAGAAACAGTTCCTCTAGGATGGTGCCATTCGAAGGTCTGGATTCAGCAGCCAAAGCCAGACTTCTAAAAACTAGATGGCAATAGATTGCCTTCTGTGCCTCAAGCATTTAAGATGGGGGTCTGACATTTGCAACTAAAGGATCTCCAGCTGCTACAAACGAACCAGTAGACCTTTCATTACCTGGCTTACCTAGAAGAAGTGAATGACTGGGGCAGGGGGTCATGAAGGTGGCTTGAAATAAATACAAAAGAGAATGGAAATTTTAATGACAAAGTCAAGGAAAATGGCATTAGTACGGTCAGAGTAGAAGGTGGCCCGCCCAACATTTATATAGGCACATCATTACAATTTAACAAACCACGTCCTGGTGCCCCAACACTGAAGGAAGGACAGGAAGAATCCTTCCTCCTGTCCTCTCCTGTTGTCTCCGTACACACTGAAGAAGCTCCATTAGCAAGACACTCCTAGCCTCTCTCTACTCCCTCTGTTACACCTTTCCAGAAGAAAAGGAGTGACATAATCCGGAAGATTAAAGAAACTCTACAGAGAAACTGTATTTCCATAGCTCAGCCCCTGGCACTTCCTGTTTCCCCCTAGGGGAGCAAGCTGCCTTCAAGAAACCCCCAGTGTAACCCACACAACCCACAGTATGGGTGTTACAGGAGCAAGCCTTGCTTCAGTGGAGATGCCCACCTAAGTCCTGAATTAGTGAGTGTACAAGTGCACAATTCCAACTCTGAAATTCAGTAGATGTTAGCCACATTTTTCCATACCAGTGTTACCACTAACAACATGACACTTGACTTTTACCAGCCTTGCATTTGTTTTTTCTCTATTGGTGTAGAACTCAGGTAGCAGGGGAGAAAAAGAGAGAAAGAGAGAGAGAGAGAGAGAAAGGCAGGAAGGGATTTCTATTTTCTCAGGCCCCTGAAACTTCAGTACCTGGGATATTCAACCAGATCTCACTTTCAGATGCTCAGTATTAATGTCATCTCTTTGGGAGCATACTCAGACCTGATGCAGGGAACTGTTTATAAGCACAAAAATCAGATTTATGTTTTATGAGCTTCTATGTGGTGTTTTGACAACTAGTGACAAATCATTCGCTTAATATAAGCAAAAACAAAATAATGGTGTTGGTTAAATTAAACATAAAACTGTAACAGAACAAAAATAAAAATGTAACATAAATCTGCTAACAATTGAATAACTAGGAGAACTACTATATAAAATTACTTAGTATTGAAAATTGGACTGGTCATGAAAATGAAAACTAGCATAACCTAAACTCACATGATCTAGAACAATATTCACAGGCAGTTTGCCTCTAGCCGTTCATACAGGGCTGAGGCTGGAGCTGGAGAATGATGGGGAGGGGAAATCACAGCCAGTCTCCTTGCGGACACAGGAACCAAACCGTGATGATGCTGGGAGCCATGATAATTCTTATTTTAAAGAAGGAGAAGGAGTATGAGGAGGAGTGGGGAAGGGGGAGGAGACCAGCAATGAGAACTAAGAAGTGATAAGGGCGTGATCCTTGGTGAAGCCTGGGATTCCTAAAGAAACCTGAAGAGACAATTTCAAAGTCAACAGGGAGCTCTTAGAGAAATTACAGATACACAGGCCTACAGAGTTGAGGGGTTAGGAAATTCTGTTCACTAGAAAATGAATTTCATAAAGCAAGAAAATCATGTACAGTATTGACAAGAGAGAAAAGAGATTGAAGAAGGACAAGAGAAAGGAAACTAACAATGGAATTTGAGAGCACAGCCCATGGACATGGACTGATTTAAGGTTTTAGGATGAGTCGCAGAGCCTCAGCTAGAAGTTGCAGTGGGGGTGGGGGAGGGGTGGGCAACATGGCACCAAATTAGAAAAGGGACTGCTTCTCTAGGTACTAAAGGAACTCACTTGGCTGTGGAGGGGGGGTCCCAAAAGAGCATGCTATTGCACCTGGAGAAAACGTTAAAGAGATCAATTAAGTTTGAACCTTGTGCCAAACTAAGCAAATAAACATAAATAGATGATACAAAGATAGATAGATAGATTGATCTGTGTATCACCTAATCAATATTAGTAACTGGGAATCTTTCCTCGTCTCCCCTGAATGCTGTCTATAAACTAAAACTCCCTTCCGTTCAAGAGGCAAACATATACATACTTCACCGCAGCTGCTTTCAAATTTCAAAGGGAAGAGGAGTAATTTGGGAGAAAGATGATTAAAAAAAAAAGCAAGACTACTGAATGTTGTTAATATGCCAGGCACTGTGCTAGGCACTTCAGAACCACCACCAAATGTCATTATCACAATCAGTAGGTATCATTATCTTGCTTTAGAGAGGAGGACACTTAGCTTAGAGAGGTTAAGCAATGTGATCAGAGTTCATACAGGTGCTAAGTGGTAGACCCTCTGATTGAACCCACATGTGTTCACTTCCAAAGCCCACATCTTGTACATGACACAGCGGAGAAAAAGCTCGACTTATTCCTTACGTTATTGTGGGTGGAATTTAAATGGTGCAATGTCCCCACTGAAGTTGCTGTGTTGGGTTCACACTCCGTCCCAGTGGCCAAGCACCATCACGTCACTCCATCTCAGTCACACGTAATATATCCAGCACCTTCCCTAGAACAGCCATGTTGCCTTGACTCCTATCCACACATTCACTTCATATTTCACTGATGGTCAACAGCAGTTTATACACTAGCCCTTAGAGTGATAAAGCCTGTGAAGAACATAAACCTATAGAAGATTTGTCCAAGTTCAAGCTGTAACTTCCTACCAGCCATATACTAGACGAGCATATAGGCTCTGAGGCCACACTGCCTGGGTTAGGTAGCTTTTCTGTGCCTTAGTTTCCTATCTGTGAAATAGGTAGGAAGTTTTCAGGATTACCTGTACCAATTCATAAAAACTACTTAGAACGGTGCCCAGTGCTTTTAAATTATTAGCTATTAATTATGCATCATTCTTTTTTTTCCTTTCTCTGAAATGTGTTAATAATTTTCCGGTATTTTGATTGTCACTCTTCTACAAGAACACAACCTCTTTTTAGGTAGAAACCACTTCTCACCTCTTCTGTATGTCCTGCAGCGTTTAGCAGGGGGCCTGAGCACAGCAAGCATCCCTCATATCTGAGGAAGGAGGTTGTATTTGAGACATTTGCTTTGGAGTCAGAGTTGGGATCATCGCCATTTCTACATATGAAGTTCCCAGTCAACACTAAAAGCTTAGCAAAGAAATAACAGGAGAGACTTAGAGGAGGCGACTTGACCTCCCTTGGCTCCCAGACATGGGGAGGGAAGTTAAGAAAATGAAGGCTTATCAAGTCTCAGTAAAGAATGCATAGTTTGCCGACAATCCTTCAGCACCACCACTCCCATGCCTTTTTCGCTACAATACCAAAATTTTTCAAAAGTGTGTGCTGTAAATTGTTCTGATAATAATGATGATGATGATGATGATGATGATGATAATAATGAAAGTAGTTCTGGAGCCAAATAAACCTGGTGAACACTTCACATGTAATTATCGATGATTAGCAATGTGTATCAGCAAAGTAAAGACTCCCAGTAAGTCTGGCAATAAAGAAATCTACTTCATTCTGTTTAACCTAACATTTCCAAATTCCATCTCATCGTGTTTTTTTATTAACGAGAGGAAAACATTTTCCTTGGAAAATGACTTTTTACAGCTTGTATGTGCTTTATAAGGTAAGGGACAGAAAAGAAAGTCAGCAATGAACCAGAGGAGTCAAAAGAGGGATGCATCTCTGTACTAGCAAGAAGCTCTGGGTGGAGTGGGTGGATCATGCAGCATCAGATCCCAGTTCTGAGGAACACAACCCAAGTGAAGTATTCTTTTTTTTTTTTTAAGATTTTATTTATTTATTTGACAGAGACACAGTGAGAGAAGGAACACAAGCAGGGGGAGTGGGAGAGGGAGAAGCAGGCTTCCCGCTGAGCGGAGAGCCCGATGTGGGGCTCGATCCCAGGACCCTGAGACCATGACCTGAGCCAAAGGCAGACGCTTAACGACTGAGCCACCCAGGCGCCCCCAAGTGAAGTATTCTTTTAATTTATTCTTGATAATAGAAATCCAGCTCAATCAATCAATGCATCAATCTTTATTAACTGTCAACTGAACTTAATACCTTTCCAGGAATACACTGTATTACAATAAATGAAAACCACCTGGCTAAGGAATAGTTCTTTCCTTGCTATTGATTTCTTACGAGTGTGACCTATTCTTTGCATCATTTCTACAAACTAGCTGAAAATTTGACACTCTAGGGGACCTTAAACAGCATGAAAGGGATTACTAAATAAGCCAATAAGACACTACTTAATAACCTGAGGACTGTGTGGTATTTTAGTTTCATTGCCTGATTTTATGACTTCTGTGAGCTAAAATTAAAATTCCCAAACCCATTATCACTGTAAGAAGCAATCCAAGGTTGTAGCTCATAAGCAAAATAGCTCTTTTCTTCTCCCAGATTTCTTTATCCTTATGACTGCTCTTTTCCATCAGCAGTAAAGTAGGGGATAAGGGTTGAAAATGAAAGAGCTTCATTAATTTCAAATATCAAATTACTGAATGACTCGGGCCTTCAATGGTGTAGTCCTGCTTTTTAATTATTAGTGGTAAGAGAAAGAACACTTTACAATTACCTTTATTCTAAAGTTTCTATAAAAGAATAATGACCAAGGGAGGCAATACACATTACTGTACCCTCAGTTCTGCAGTTCTTTATGACGACAGCTTTGAGGGCATGCAATTTCCTGGGAAAATAAAAGAGATTCGCGGTGCAGAGAGAGATCGGGGTGAGGTCGCCATCTAGTGGCTGCCATTCAAAACATGCATCACTGGGCTGCTGGGCTCAGCTCCAAGGAGCTAGCAAGGGATGTGGGAGATGTGCAGGCTCCTGGCTGCATTAACAGCCCACAGGGATTTCTTGAATAATTAATTCAAGATGGCTGTGGGTTCTAAACCATATAACCACTTTTACATCTCTTTGCTCACGTTCATTAAGTAAAACTAAGTTACCCTTCAGACATGCAGAAGAGTAACCTTACCTCTCACTACAAAGGTATCTATGTACATACAACCGGAGGGTTTTGGATACTTATTATGGTTCTATTTGACTTCATTTTTGACGGGAGAGGGGTGAGTGTTGTAGTCTTCACTAAAATGTACTCCTCACATCACCCTAATGCATCCCCTTGTATTTTTCCCATATCGTAATACAAATCATTTTCTTATGATGGATTGTGAAGTCCAGCAAGTAGCCTGATTTGGTGACATCACACAGACATGGATTTGGAGCTTAATTACACAGCTCTTTCTAAGTGCCATGTCCTCTTATGTAAAACAAGAACACTTATCTTGCAAGGCAATGGGGAATTACAGATTTAAGGAGCTGATACATGTAAGACGGCTATCCCAGTATCTAATGCCTACTGGGCACTGGATATATGTCTCCTGCTCTTCCTCTATCTATAGACTCTTCTTATCTACAGACGCACACACCCAACCACACACACACACACACACACGCACGCACACTCCTACCTACACGCACATATACATGGCTCGCTATAATTCCAGACTCCAGAAGGATAGAAGTTTAGGCTCATGAATATAAAATTAAATAATAGGACCCCAAACTGCAGAACCTTTAAGCTGGAGAGGGACTCAGCAGTAATATGATTTCAGGTTTAAAAATGAGGAAATGAGGAAAAAAGGTTTATCATATCTGTCCCAATGGCAAAAAGTATTTTTAGTTACAATGACTGTATTAAATCCCAGGGATCCCGACTCTAACTTGACTGTCTTATTCACAGAAGAATCTAGAGAGAGTTTACACCACTGACTTCAACGGACGAAGACTAGCCATGGTAAGTGACTTTTCCAACATCTGGCAGAGAATTCGAGTCAGGGCCCAGATCTCCTGACATCAACAGCGTTCTACATAATACTCCATGCTGCCCCCAAGTTTTCTTCTCCCATATGGACAAGAGTTCTGCCTAACAGAAGTGCACTGCTCTGGAATGTTAGAGTATAGACTTATTTGGAGACAACATGGAAGGTGCCCTCTCTCTTCCACCTTAGACCTCATTAAATTACCCATCAAATTGTGGCCAAAGAGCTACCTTCATAAGCCATTCCTGGTTTCTCCAACCCAAAATGATAATTTTCTCTTCTGACATGACAATGACAATCTTACCCACCCATGCTAGAATCTCATTACATACTTTTTGTCTTATTTTCAAATGCCTGGGTCCTATCTAATCCACTAGATTGGTTAATTATTTGAGGAAACATAATTTCTTGTGCTTCCTTCTTATTTTTTACATCCTTAGCACACTGCTGATATGTAACAGGCTCTCAAGAAATACCTATTGCTTATGTGAAGCTCTGAATGTTCCTTTACGTATAGATGTATTCGTTCATTCATCCGTTGCCCTTCTAGAATGTGAATTCCACCAAGCCAAAGACTGGCCTATTTGTTCACTTCCCTATTCTCAGTGCCTTCTAAAGCAGTACTCAGTACACGGTAGGTGCTCTATTTATAACAATTAAATAAATGATGAAATAAATGAATAATTATTCAGCCCCTTCTAAGTAGCCTGTAGTGATCTCAGTACTTACTTTTACCTGTAATGCTCTGAATTTCTGATTTACCCATCTCCCTCTCCTAGAGAGTAAGTCATTTATTGAAGGAAGAAACCGGTCATTGGGAAGATGATTGATAAGTGATTTTTGAATAAACGAATAATAAAGGAGCTACAGAACTCTACATCTACTCTCCGGACAGATATTTATGCCTAAAGAGACCCATTAACATACAATGACAGTAATGGGTAAATTCTATAATACAGATCAATGAAAAGGGATTATGAAACTTCAGAGGAAGACCTTCTTAGCCTTACCTGAGCTTGTCAACGAGAACATGTCACATAAAAATAAACATGTTTCAGAAAACCTTTTGCTCGCTGAATGACCCAGAGGATGACGAGAGCAGAGAGACACATTTCCCTACGTAGAGCTGTACTCACCCTCAGCCACATCATCATCCACGGTTAACTTAAGGCTTTTTCCTCTCCGCACCACCCGGACGGTGTGCCATTCATTGTCATTGAGCTTCTGCCCCGCGTACAGGGTCTCAGGTCCTTTGCCTATGGACGATGGTAAGTGCCAAAGTTAGAATCAATTCTGAAAGCAGCGATTACGGTATCAGAACTGTCAAAGCCACACTGGCGCACAGAACCCAGTAGCATTCAAGGAATCATATGCACGCCCCAGCACCAAAGCCCATCCCAGTTTCACTGCCCCAACAGGATGTTCCACAATCGTCTCCAAATGCAAAAGTCTCAACTCATATGGACATTGGCAAAACAGTGAAAGAAATAAGTGCCCTCCCTTTGTCTACAGAGCGAAAGTTCTAAAATGCCAAGAGCAGTAATTATAAGAACCAGTAGTCAGCCATCATTTTGTTTCCCAAAGTCTTAGATTTCAGATGAATTTCTTGAAGATATAGGAAATTCATCATTTATTTTTAGTATCATTTGGTCACTTAGGCATAATACACCAGTCTGGCTTTTGGAGGGTATCCATCAATTGGATGAGAAAAGAGTTCTATAATATATACTCTTAACTTGATATTGCCATTAACCCACGGTCCTACCAGAATTCAGCAACCATAGAAATCACAACAGTAATCATCACAATAATAATGTTGAGGTCTAACCCCCATGATAAGTAATGCTCCTGAAGGGAATGTGAGGGGCCCCAGACTTATTGTTCATCATCCTCCAAAAAGATCTAAAGATCTAAAACATGAAATAATGTAAAATGCCAAAATCGAACTCTTTTAGGTCAAAAGAATGTTCAGGAGAAAGTGCCACCAGATGAAGGAATAAACCAAGTTGTCTCAAAAGATCCATGATCCAAATGCTCAAGAGGATGTTCAGGTATACCCTAAGAAAAATCAGGTTCAACGAGGAATTATAGTATTTAGGGGCAGAAGTGGCAAGATAAACACTGAGGCATTAAAAGAATTTGGTTAGTAATGGGGGGAAAATGTCATGTTTTGCTCAGCACCGAACTGAGATGTAAATTTAAAAGACAAAGAAGACTGCATAGGACCAGAGAACTTAGACCAAGTTCCAAGTTCACTATGTGGATAGCTGAGCCCATGAAGAAAGATCCCGTGTGAGTCTTCCTGGATTTGTCAATAACTATGTAGAAAGCCCTATCTCTGGAAACAACTTGGGGAAAAAAGATGAAATATGTAACTGGCCAACATATTCCTATGATATTATGCATCTGAAATATTTCAGAATACACTTGGATCCAACATATAAGAACACAGTAGGTACTTTAATGAGCACTTGCTGAACAACTGATGTCTACACAGGTATTTATTTCTTTGGAAACCATCAACTAAGGTCAATACATTTTTATCTAACTAATTTTGAAAGCTCTATTATATAGATTTCACTGGCCACTCCACCCCCTCTTCTGCCTCCAAGACTCCAAAACAGTATTGTATACATTTAGGGAAGAAAATTTAAAAAATTGTATCACTTGGGTAAATATCTTTTAAGCTAGGTAATTTTAAACTGTACCCTTTAATTCTGAATTATTAGTGTTGCTACTGAATGCTCTTTATAAGAGTAATGATGGGGCACCTGGGAGGCTCAGTCAGTTAAGCAGCCAACTCTTGATTTTTGGCTCAGGTCATAATGTCAGGGTCCTGGGTCCAGCCCTGAGCCCCATCAAGCTCTGCACTCAGCACACTCAGCAGGGACTCTGCTTCCAGATTTTTCTCTCTCCCTCTGCCCCTCCCCCGGCTCACTCTCTCTCTAAAATAAATAAATCCTTTTAAAAAAGAATAATGATAGCAGTTGAAGTTTGGGGAAATTTTCTTATTGAAAAATAAAGATTTTCAAAGTAAAAAGGTTTCTTTTAATTAAAATGTATACAACAGGTCATTTGTATTTTTTTTTCAGAATGTACCTATATCCCAAGTACAATGCAAATTCACAAGAATCCTAAGAAATCAATGAAGAAACTTAAAGTGGACCAAATGTACCCCAAATTGGGTATGATGCCATGAGATCAATGAATCTGAAGGTAAAAAAAATTCTATGATAAACCATTTTATATTCAATTTTAGCTGTTCTTTGTGAGTATACTTGTCTTACGATTATCTAAAGCATATACATTATAACAGAATTTTTCCTACATCTCACCTCATTAGATAGCATTGTTCATTATCTCATTAAATTCCGGTCTAAGATTGATGTTAACACTCAACTTTACAACAGCAAACCGTGCAGGCATTGAGAGAAAATGGGCCACATCATGTGGGTGCTTTGAAGCAAGAACAGATGTTCTCAGAAGAAACAAATCTGCCTTTGTTTTTGTGTGTGTGTGTTCTTATCCTCTTTATTCTACATGCAAATGCTTCAATAAGAAAGGGGAAAGTAAGGAAAGACGTAGGAAACAGTGGCTATACTGTTAGAAAGACAGGCTATTCAAACATCTATAGGTAGCATCTGTTCTTTAGGCAGTGTTTGCACATCACTTAATTTTTATGACCAGGGACAAAATAAGAGGGACAAATACTAACACCAACATGGTCACAGTTAGCGACATGGCCACATTGGTGTCATATTAGTCATCGGTGTCAAACAAGATTTGCAACCAGCCCAGTGTTTTTTAAATGCTGCTGACATTTTGCAGGGACTTGGAATTTTCTTGTGTCAAATTCAAACAAAAATATTTAACTGTCCTTTTGACTCTAAAACGTCAGGATGTGATGGTCTATGACCAAACATGTGGGAAAAAGGACCTGAAAACCCTCATGCCCTTCTGCTTGGCTAGAGTTGCTGTCTCCAACCCCAATAATCCTCAGGACTCTGCCAGGAGGAAAAAAAAAAAAAAATCCATACCCGTCTCATTAAAATGGTAGAGAAATGAATATTATCCAATATTCATTTTCAAGCAATAAATACAGAAATCCCAGTGAGCTTCCGAAAAAGTCTCAGCCTCCAAAAGTGGAGAGTCAATGGCATTTATCTTTAATCAAGCCAAAAGGTCAATGCATCCCTACCAGAGAGCAAGTGATGTTTAAACTCAGCTGGAAATGTAGGCAAACAGAGGGCAAGAACAAATCTAATTTGTAGCCTAAGCATAAAACAGGATTGATAAGTAATACAAGATGTAGATACAAGCTGAAAGTTAAAACATACAAACCATTTGGTTTTCAAAGAAGGAGGATTTAGTCTAGGGAAGACTTCCCTGGCAGATTCAAGCACAAAGCCAGGGAAGTAGCATCAGTAAAACAATGAATGTGAAGATAAGGATTAGACAAGGAGGAGAAACTTTTTTTTTTTTTAGTTGGAATTTAAAATGGAACTGATAGGAATTTAATTTTTAAAAAATTTTTTAAAAACCTCAAAGCCATTAATTTTCTTCCATTGTCCTTTTTCTTTTTTTGTAGCTAGGAGAAATGTGATCTGTGATTAGGTACATACTGGATATATGTATTAGAGGCTTGCTTCCTTTTATAGTCTAACTAGTAAATATTGATCACACACACACAAAGAAATCAACATTTGATTCCCTTTAGGCTGCTTAGATCATCACTGTTGGATCTAAATACAGGAAGCTAATAACTTATCTGACACCCTATAGTTGAATTTCCTAAGTAATGACCTCTGTAACCAGAGTAAAGAAGAAGAATCACAGTTGAAGATTTCCGGGATGCAGAGGTCTGTAGAAGTGAGTATTCAATTGTATTCAAAAGAGACTTTAATGAATCTTTTGGGCGAAATCACCCAAATTCCCACTCTTGACCTAGTCTCACTGCAAACTCATCTGGCATCATCTCTTAGTTAAGACTTGTCTCACCAAAGATGATCTAATTTTCTGATGGATATGGATAGAGGAGGTATCACAGATGAAAAATACAAGATTTATTTTCTTGACCTAGTCTATAGTAACCCTGTGGAAGGTGTAATTCTTTAAGAAGCCAGAACAGTAAAATCAAAGTGAAAGGTTAGGAGAAAAGCATTCTTTGGGAGAGAAATCATTGCTGATTGCTTGGAGGAAGATGACGCTCAGATATTAGCAGATTGTTCCCTCTGGGGGGACAGGGAACGGGAGTATACGGGGAAAAATCTGTATTTGGGTATCTCTAAAGGCACACACCTTCACAAGGTGGACTTTGGCTCTTGATGATTTTGAACCTACTTAGTTGTTTTCTTTTTATTTTTTGTTGTTGCTTTTTGGTAGACTCTTCATAGAACATGAATTTGTTATTCCCCCCAGGAGCAACATAACCAGCACAACTATAAGACACCCCAATATGCATTAGTTTGTCAATAAATTTCTAAAACCTACCCAAACCAGCTAAACCAGACGGTTTTGCTCATACACAGGGAGTAGAAATTCCTTCCACCTGCCACAAAGTATTATCTCCAAAAGTGGATGGATTAAGACTGGAAACTTACTTTGCTTGGGGGTCAGGGGACAGGGTTTAAGGGCACACTGTCTATACCATAATCACTTTGCTTTACTGGAACATCTTTCTATTTGTGCAGGAGAGAGAAAGAAACAACAACTTGATTTCCCGTGGAACTGTGTTTCACATGAATCAAAATTTCTACAATGCATAAAAAAATATGAAATTCACTCCCTTAGAAAGGTATAGCAAAAGGCATGTGATTGTACAACTAAATGGCATGATAAATAAATACTCAAAATGACTGTGTTAGGTTTAATGAACACCAAAAATATTTAAAAAGAGAAAACTTACCTTCATTTCCACCAGCACCCTAGGTTAGGCCAGCTGAGCTATGACAAAGCCTAGCTCAGCTAGGCTGAGAGAACAGATTAGGCAATTAAAAGCAGGGGTGAGGAGGGCAGTGGGACTATAGACTAAGGAGGGTGACAGAGAAACGGAAAAGAAGCATCTTGTTTTTTATCCAAAGCAGTTTCAGGTTCTGGTTGTTTTCTTCAGGTTGACAACCCAATGGAGAATAAGAGGTGTTTTGTTTTTATAAACTCATTTTTTTTAAGATTTTATTTATTTATTTATTTGACAGAGACACGTAGAGAGAGGGAACACAAGCAGGGGGAGTGGGAGAGGGAGAAGCAGGTTTCCCAC